CTGTCACATCTCAGACAGCGGGTTGCAACACAGACTGACACGGACAACGCAGTATGCCTCATTGCTGGGCTTTGCCCCGTGGCGGGACATACAGCGCGCTGGCTTTACGTCGGGGGCAATTGCCACCCGAGACAGCAATTCCGAGTTCCGTACACAACATATTCACCTCCGGGTGGCTTCCAGTTTTACGCCATTCTTGTTGTGTAACCCCTTGAGGATCCCAAAGAGCGTAATCAGACGGTGACAAGGGTATAGCCACTGCTACAATTTCGACCTCTTCCGCGCCTAAGCTACCGTCTTATTTGACTTGCGATGTCCAACATATTAAACTTGACAATTTGATATTGATTGCATGATCGATTGCGTTGTCAGTAAATACAAGTAAAACTGTAATGGCCGTTCCTGGCTCACTAATCATCATTTGCCAGTCGTACCCAACTCCTGTGTGTGCACCACTTGAGGCTCAAACCCGCAACCTTTTGTGCGGAAGTCGAACGCTCTACTCAGTGAGCCAGACATGGCCATTCAGTGCTCCATTACCCTTGCCCGCAATGATCATCTGCCTAGACTACTAGCCGCTGCTCGGCTATTATAGGCGCCCCAGAGAGAACTCCACGACAGAGCGGGATAAGTTGAATTTCGAAAATTTTCCGTGAGCGTTCATCAGCGACTGATTTAGCAGATTCTACCGCATCTTTTCCTGCCAATAGGCAGCTCCATCGACCGAACTAATCTTGCCATAACCCGAATCCCAACAGGAGGCAGTTTTCATCTCGCAAATTCTATTTTATATTGTATCCGTAAGCAACTCCATAAAAAATGATCCACAAGACAATGCGTATTGAAATGATGCGTTATTTCTGGAGCACAAATACTACGCGCCATTTCCAGGTGCAAGGGACTGATATCTTCATGAGAGCGGAGGGCCATAGGGGATCGTCATCTGCCAGAGTTACGACTCTGCTTCCAAGGGTAATATCGTTTCTTCCTACACACCTTTCCTGAGCGTGAGCTTTAGCAAACACCATCGCGAATCAAGGAACTGCTCGAGTTGTTCTATCGCCAAGAATAAACACTAACAAGGCAAACGCGACAACCGATCAGAACTATATAAACAAGCAAACAACTCTCACGCCAGGTAGAGTTACCGGCTGTGAAGCGACTACTTATAGATCATAATTAGTGTGATCTAAGGCAGGTGCGAAGGTATGCGTGGGAGTGGCACCGTCCGTGCCAGGTACCTGCTCCGTCTCCTGTTTCCGTTCATCTTGCTTCTTTCGTGATACCGTGACTAGGCAGGGGGCAGTAGGAGAGAGTCTGTTAAGTCCAGCGCACGTTTGCTCTCCTTATAGTAAAGCTTACGATAGTGTCACTGATTTGCATCAAATTGCTTTGGAAAATAGGGTGGATCCTATCGGATAGGGCGGTTCAGCTATCAATCGACTGATGGTTATGCCCATATAACACCACAATACCTCCCTTCCGTCCTTCAGTAACTCTACTCATGGCTGTTCCTCGAGCGAATAATATCCCTATCCAACCAGGGAACATCTTGCTTACTAAATAGCCAATACAA